GCGTTCATAGAGCCAGGCCAGCTTACTTCATGCTGACTTAAGATGCTGGGTTATCACAGACAGTTATTTAAAGTATATCAGAGAGGACGAGAGATAACCAAGATGATGAAGCTACAGTTCTCTGTGCCTGGCTTACATGGAACACTGACCCCATAAGGATCACGTCGTTCTTCTCACCCCAAAACCGAACGTGGCATCTCACAGGGACAGACCAGGCATGAAAACTGGGGGAGATGAAGACAGTTCTACTAACATCGCTGGGGAAAGGTCACACTCTTTTTTTTTTTTTTTTTTTTTGGCGGTACGCGGGCCTCTCACTGCTGTGGCCTCTCCCGTTGCGGAGCACAGGCTCCGGACGCGCAGGCTCAGCGGCCGTGGCTCACGGGCCCAGCCGCTCCGCGGCATATGGGATCTTCCCGGACCGGGGCACGAACCCGTGTCCCCTGCATTGACAGGCGGACTCTCAACCACTGTGCCACCGGGGAAGCCCCACACTCTTTTTTAATTACCTTAGATCTTTGTAAAGGATGACAGCCCCTCATCACTATTATGAGATTGAAGCTGATCTTTGTGGGTGAGATGGAGCATGTCTCTTATGATATTCTTTAATCCCATAGCTCCCCTCCCCCACAGACCTTAGAACAGCTCAGTTCACCCTGGAAACACAGGATAAATGTACATTTATGGGCGGTACCCAGAGGGGAGAGTCTAGAAACTCCTCTAACTTAGATTGGGTGACCATCGTTTGCCCTTCCTTCCCTTGTTTCATTTCAAAGACTCTTGACAGAACAAATAAATTATATCTGAAATAACGGTTGCTTAGGGCCTAAACATGCTCAGGGCATCAGGGTGCCAACACTCAAACCTCGCTGGCGCTCTGCTGGCTGACAGGAGCCTATGATGGGGGCAGCTGGGCTCAGGTCTCATGTCGTCGGGGCAGCTGCAAGCCCGGCCCTCCGCTTTTGCTGCAGAACCTCTCATCTTCCTAAAACGTCGTTTCCTTTATGCCATCTCATCGTCAAGTATTCCCCAAGGCATACGGACGGAGCCCACCCTGAGAGCCGGGCCTCCTGCTACTCCCTGAAACGCTCTCAGTCATGTCTGTGCAGGAGCCAGTGCCCTCACCTGCCCCCCTTGAGTCAGGTGACCCAGCCTTCAAAATGCACTGGCACTCAACCCACTTCGGGAAGTGCCCATCATTCCACTGCACAGTTCGCTCCTTCCTCGGCTGTTCTGGAGTCCGGCTTCTGCCCACCGACTCAGTGCTGGACCTCGTCAGGCCTTTGACCGTCATGTGTGAATATCCTGCCTGGGCTGATGTAGCCTGCCTTGTCAACCAGGTGGAAAGCTCTTTCCCAGGAAGGACCTGGTGTGATGCGACATACATATCACAAACCTCCAAGAAATATTCCAGGAATAAATAAATATCGAGTGTCTGCGTTTGGCTCCCTAACTCTGAAGAATGTGGGGGCTGGTGGCCAAGAGAGCATCACCTCACTCATCAGAAGAGGCAAATTCCTGCAAAGTTAGCCCAACATATTTGTATGAATGATATCCTTCATATCATACATATTATGCGATTTATATGTTACATATGTATATACGTTATAACTTCCATGACAAAGATGAAGATGATTCAAGTGGGGAAAATCTGTGTTCCCCCTAAGATTAAAAAACACAAATCAAAGACCAGAATGCAATCAGTATTTTTCAACCACTTATTAAAAGGAAAATGGTAATTTTCTGAAAAAGGCTCTTATTACCCAAAATTAGTCACAGAGAACGAATGCCATAGTGCCCTAACATTTGGGGGAGCATATCCACGAGGAGAAAGGTGAGTGTGGCTGCCCCCAACCTGCCTGAGCCCCCGCAGGCTCCAACCCATCCTGGAGCATCCTGCCCACCTGGCCCTGGGCTTTGCAGGCAGGGCTATAACCACAGACCAGGTGCTGATTTCTGGAAGCCAGTTTCCTTTCTGCAGGATGTTCATACGCCCATATAAATGAAGAAATGAGGAAACAGTGCAGAAGCCTGCTTGACGGAAGGTTTGTTTGTTTTTGTTTTTTCATTCTGACTGCAACTCCAGGAGGCCCTCATGGGTGGAGAAATGCTGTCCAGTCATAACCTGGCAGGACGCGTGGACACAGGTGTGTGGGGCTGCCGTGTGCCTGGGAGACGAGGGTGGTGGGTGTGAGGCCGGAAGGGAATCTTCCTCGTCCCATTGTCACCTGGATCCTCTTCCTCCACCTTGGGAGCCAGAGGGCGACACCTGTCCCCCAGAACTGCAGCAGGAGGGGCCTCTCAGGGACCAGGGGTAACTGACACACACAGGCCCACCTGCCTCTCTCCCACCTCTCGTGGAGGCTGCTAAGGGAGAGAAAAAATCTGGATAACTAATTCTAAGTAATGAGATCGTCCCATCTTTAAACTCCTAAAGCACTTAAAACCTATACCATTTAGTGCTAAATTCTGTTCTTCCTGGGATCACTTACAATCGTTTATTTGTTGAGTTTGGGTCTTCAACTCAAGTGTAACTTCCTCCAGGGCAGAGAATAACACAATTTTAGGACCATTTCTCCCAACCACCCCCTATGTCTAGTGCAATTTCAAACACGTTAAGTGCGTTAATTGATCAAAATGAGCTAGGAATAGTTTCATATGACAACCTGTCCCAATACGTAATACCTGTCACTCAGAAAAGCCCTAGAAGAGACCCAGCGTGGATATGCTTCTTTTCAAAGACAGGAGAACCCAGCTTCAGCAGAAGCTGCTACTGCAGGCTCGGGCTGAGAAGGTGTCCCAGTCTGTACCTTGGCCTTTCCGGCCAGCCCAGGAGAGGTCACCAGGACTGGGTGGAGGTCAGGGTCGATAGGCCCTGGGGCCTGAGAGAGGTGAGTCTGTGTCTCTCTCGGGTGAGGACTACTCCAGGTGCCCGCATCACACACACCCGGAGGCCCTTTCCTCGCGGGACTCTGGGGCAAGGTGTCTGGCAACGGCGAAGCAGTACCTCTGGAGTTAGGGTGGGTGTGGGGCAGGGGCAAAGGTCACACCCAGGACACCTGACGGCATCAGAGGCTGCCACAGGGGCCACAGCAGCAGTGGCTGAGACAGACGCCTGGTGGAAGCCGGGATCTCTGCGGGACCATCCCGGGCAGGACAGTGTTCTCTGCCGTGCAGTTGGTAGGAACTGAGACCTTTTCCAAACTTGACACCAACAAGATTAGCAGCGGTCTTCTCCGAGGGGGCTGCTTCCACTCATGTATTTCCTTGCTTGCCTTCTTGCTTATTTGGCTGCGCGGGGCCTTCGTCGCCGCACGCGGGGTCTTCATTGCCGCATGCGGGGTCTTCATCGCCGCACGCGGGGTCTTCGTTGCCGCACGCGGGGCCTTCGTTGCCGCGAGCGAGATCTTCATCGCAGCATGCGGGATCTTTTACGTTGCGCCGTGCATGTGGGATCTAGTTCCCTGACCAGCGATGGAACCCGGCCCGCCTGCACTGGGAGCGCGGAGTCTTAACCACTGGACCACCGGGGAAGTCCCCAACCTACTCGTTTTTAAACCTGCGCCATCTCCTCTCCCCACCCCCCTCTCTCCTGGCCCCCTAACCAAGTCAGTGTGAACCGGGTTTGCTCTGGAAGCTCGAGCCCAGGGGCCTCTCTCTAGGTGTCCTCTACTCCACATGTCCAAAAACATAGAGCAGGGGCAGCCACTCTGTGCCTGCAAGACCCGTTCTCCCGGATTCCCAGCAAAGCGGGAATACATTTCATACCAAGTTTGTATCTCCCTACACAGACCTCCCCAGGAGTACACTGCTGCTTGAGCTGGAGAACCTGTGATGTGTATCTGTAACCAGATGTCGCCGGAGTCTTCCCGTCCCTTAGGACTCAGTGACTCACTGCTGTTGCCCTGCTGCACGGGGGCGGGGGGCAGTGGGGGGTTGGGGGTGGGATTTGAGTTCAAACCCTGCCCTTTCGGGAAGAAGGGAAGGGGGGTGATTCGGACTGTGGGGCAGCCCTTGCGGAGGAGGGGAGGCTCCATCCCCACGGGGCGCCTCGTCCGGAGCCCTCGGGCCTCACAGCGCCTCCATCCCCGTCTGGACCCTGCAGAGGAACGGAGCTGCCCCTCGGAGGGTCTCCAGGTTATCCCCCGGTTCGCTCTGACCCCATCACCGTCCCCTGAAGCCGATTCTCCGATCACCCGGGGCTTCTTACTGCCGGGACACCGGGAGCTGCAATCCCCACCGACGAGCAATTAGGTCTCGAAGAGAAGGGTGGGCGGGGGCTCTCCTCTGGGCGGGGCGCACGGCAGGTCGGGGCGCGGGACCGCACTGCCCACCCCGCCCAAGCGCGCCGGGCGCGCAGCCCGCTGGAGGGGCGGGGAGGGGCGGGCCGCACATTTAAGGCCGCACCGCCGCCCGAGCCGGACAGGCAGGCGCTCGGCTGCCGCAAGAGCAAGGAGCGTGCCACCGGCCTCGGCCCCCGCCCGCCCCCCGGGGCCCCCGCCCGCACCATGAGGCCGGTGCGTGCAGCCGGGGCGCGAACGCGCGGGGCGGCAGGAGAGGGCGGGCGGGCTCCGCGCGTCTCCCTCCGCTGCGCGGAGACCGCGGAGACCCAGGGCTGCCGGCGTGAAGACGCGAAGCCAGACGCGGGGCAGGGGCCGCGGGGGTCCTGATTCGCAGGCGGCGCGGGGCTGGGGACTCCACCGGTGCGCCGTGGTCCTGAAGCCGCCCCGGCCTCTGAGGCCCAGGAGTTCAGTGGGCGCCCCCGCCGAGGAACGGCGCGCTGGCGTGTGCCTTGGGGACCAGGCACGAGGGAGAGCCTGCCCTCCTGGGGGATCTTGTCTCGAGCCGGGGAAATAACTTGCCCAGCCCTGCGCGCGCCCAGCCAGCCCTCCACCCCGGAGCAGAGGAGGAGAGGGCGCGGGGGACGCTGTTCGCCGGGCGGGGAGGGAGCAGATCCCGGGAGGAGGGGCCGGAGGGAGGGAGGCGCGTCTTCCCTGCAGGTCCCGTCGGGGAGGCCTCAGCTCCGCTTCGGAAAACCCACCTCGGGCCAGCACCGCACCTCTGCTTCTCTTTCAGAAAACAGAAATTTACTCTGTGGAGCTCAGCGGAACCGGAGACATTGAGAAAACGGACAAGGGGCATGACAAGAAGTACGGGGGCCTGAAAAAGAACTGCTTAGAACGCAAAACGCATCAGCCGAAAGAGGAGCTTAAGAAAGAACTCGATCTGGTCAGTTGAGCCAACCGGGTGCCCCTGAGCACTGCCCTCCCCGCTGAGAGCTCGCCCCTATAACCCACCTCCCACAGACGAAAATTCAGTCTCAAGAATTCGAAAAGCCCTGAGACTTGTTTCCTTGTTTTTTAAAAAAAAAAAATGGTGGGATAATATCTGCCCAGGGGTCAGGCCTCTGAAAGCTCCCTGCATTCAGGCTGTAGGCGCACCCAGGTGAGACTCACTCAGAGGGAGTCTCTGACTCCGGTCCCCACAGGCATGGACGGCCCAGACCGCTCTCCTTCCTGGTGGCTTCGCCGAGATGATACAAGCAGCCAGCTGCCACATTTTAGCTGATAAGATTGAACTATTTGAGGCAGAACCACCCCGGAGGAAAACCAAAAGCACTACACTTGCTAGGTTTCTGGGTATATTTGCCCCACGAGAAAGAATTTCAGCTGTAAGAGAGTTGGGCTTGGCTTCAGACAACCTTAGGCTCAGCTGAGGTCCAGTTCTCCGTGGCTGATCTGTGACTGGGAGCAAACTACTTAGCTTTGCTGAAGCTCCGTTTTCTTTAGGTAAAATGGGAAATAAACAATTTTTGTGGGTCTGTCAGGAGAAAAGTGAGATAAGAATGAGAGTGTTCTTAATGGAAGTGTTTTGTGGACGTGCAACCCTGTTTCTGGTAAAGCTGGCTGCCCTGGAAAAGAGCTGCCCTGGGACTGAAATGTGACACTGCATCTCAGGAATGCCAAAGGGGAAACTTCTACGTGAGTTTGAGATTATGCTAGATTGTCCCTGCACTTCACTGCAGACCTTAAAGCTGGGATTCTTTGAGCAGCTGGTAGTAGTGTGTGCTCATGTGTGCTACAGGGCCAATTGTTAAACACTCAGGAATTTGGCAAGCTGACTGGTACTGGATTAGTAGCGTGAAGTGTGACTGGGGTGAGAAATCAGTAAATGCTACAAATCGGAGCTCTTTATTTATTTTTCCTGGAGAGCGCATTAAACAGCACACACCACTAGGCACTTGTCCATGTATCTTCTGATGACACTTAAGACCACAGCCCTGGAACTGGACTGACCTGAACTGAAATCCCAGTTTGACTGAAATTCAGTTCCCTGTTGTGAAAAATTGGAATTAAAAATGGTACCTACCTCTTAGAGTTGTTAAGAGGGTTACAGAGAAAGCAGGAGAAAGACTGAGATAGTCATTCTTATTTCCTACGTATCTCTAGCAGTTAGGGGCGAAGACATAACTACTCTTACTTGAAATTGCTAATTATAATATGAATATATATCCATTGTATCATATGCCTGTAAATTACAATGAGAACCTCCCTTGAGATTGTAGCATTTTGTGAAGATGTATAATACAGAAAAATAATTTCCATAGTATTGGCCAAAGTGTTCCCTTGCTTCCTTGCTGAGATACATCTTTCTTTCCCTCCTTTTTCACAACCTTCTCACAAGAATCCTATAATTTGTGACTGCGTACTTGGATGCCCTTGCAACCCGACCCCTCCAGCAAGTTAGAACCTTGATGAGAACTAGAGCATCCCTGGCTTCTGAAGACGCAGGCAGACAGTGACTCAAGCCTGAGCCACCTGGTGCTGCCCTGTGCTGTTCCAGCAGAGCTTACTCCCGCACCCTGCCCTGCTCTCATCCCCAGAGCCGGGCTAGCAGGAGACGACAGTGCAGTACAGCCCCTCAAAGTCTGAGGTGCATCCATGAAACCGATGGCTCTAATCATCCTTTAACTTTTCTCTGCCCAGGACTTGGTGTACTGTGCACAGAACTGTGTCTTAATCCTTTGACTCCCCAGCAATGCCACATTCAGTTGATATTGGTACAATGAACAAATGAGCAAGGCAGATCAAGCCTCTTTTGTGGGCTTCCCTGGTGGTGCAGTGGTTGAGAGTCCGCCTGCCGATGCAGGGGACACGGGTTCACGCCCCAGTCTGGGCCGCGGAGCGGCTAGGCCCGTGGGCCATGGCCGCTGAGCCTGCGCGTCTGGAGCCTGTGCTCCGCAATGGGAGAGGCCACAACAGTGAGAGGCCCGCGTACCGCAAAAAAAAAAAAAAACCTCTTTTGTAACATGAAACTTTTTTGCATATACTTGAGAAAAGAGATGGTTCTGGTACCAGTCACAGTATAAATTTTTGTTTCAGACAATCAGAGTTCTAGAATCCTGAATGCTGGGCTTTCTAGGTGGGGTGAGGAAGACTTCGCCCTGGGTTTCCTGCCACAGAAAGGGCTTCTAGTCCTTTAGCCCAGAGACTCTCAGAGGGAGAGGAGAGGGGGGCTTTGCTCCCCAGGGAAGATTCAGCAATGTCTGGACATTTATGGTTTTCACTTCTTAAGGGGGGGCGCTGGTGGCTAGAAGCCTCCACAGCAGAGTTATTGGCCCCAAATGTCAGTAACGCCAAGGTTGAGAGACTCTGCTTTAGCCTAATGATTCTGTGGCAAAATGAGCAAGTGTGGTTGCTCATTTTGGCAGGTTTTTAATCTGGGGGCTTCTTCTCTGACAGTGAACTGAGTCTCAAGTACTGGAATAAGGAAAGGCATGCTTCTCTGCGCCAGACCGCCTGCCCGGTGAGGGCTGCAGGGGTAACAGGACACGAAATGGTTTGGCACTACTCACAGCCCTCCACGGATCCCACAGTTCAGGTCTGAGTTAAGTGTCCAGATCACTGGTGCCTGGACAGCAGGTGTGCTAGGATTTGCATGTGCTGGAGACCAGACTGAGGTGAAACACATTGCTTTGCTCAGAAAAACTAAGGACAGCTGCTTTGTGGTAAATGGCAAGTTAAGTCTGAACTGTTCAGGGGTGGCCAGAAAATCCCCTGGCCAGTGACCTGTCCTGCAGCGAGGTTCTCTTCTCTCGCTGCAGTAGCCCCTGGGACAAAGGTTCCTTCTTTTCATCCCACACTCCCTGACCCCTCTGCCTTCCTCAGCGCTACTCCCAGCTTTCGTGCACTTGTCAAGGCTTAGGGTTTGAGTCTTGGAATTATCTAATTCACTCTGTTTTTCTTTTCATGGCCTTCAGGATGATCACAAACTCAGCACTGAGGAATTGGAAACAAAATACGGTACAAACATCATTACGGTAAGTCGTCAGAGAACCAGTGATGGGGAGAGAATCCCAGGACTGTGCTCAGGGTTTGTGGAAAAGAATGAGTGACCCAAAGCTGCGACTCTGAGAATGCCAGCCACCCACATGCCCACCATGCGAGACAGGGCTGGTTCCCCTCGGGAGCTGGCCCGTCTGAACCACAGCCCTGGCCAAGCCCTCTGTTGAGCTGTGTGCTTGGTCACAAGCAGTTCTTTGACTGTGACCGCAGCGAAGCTGTGGTGACCCCAGGAAGGTTTGGATGCTTCCTCGTTGTCATGATCAGGGGTTGCTTTTAAACCCTGTGCCCAGGACGTATTAGGGTCTTATCAAGGCCTCCTCCGGAAAGGGACAAGGCTGCAGGGCACACCATGTGCCTCATAAAATCTCCCACCACAGAAGTAGGGCTTCCTTCTGTGAATTCAAATCTCAAATCTCAAAAGTTTTGGTGTCTTAACGTCAGGAGATCTGGGTGCACCTGTTCAAGTCAACAAGAATACCTGCAGTGTGAGGAGCAGGCGATGCCTGGGTTTCAGGAGTTCGCAGTGGGCGGGGGAGGCAGACGTGTAGGAAAGCGCTCAGCAGCCACGCTGCTCCCCGAAACGGCATGTGAGAGGCCGAAGGGCATGCTGAGGGAATGGTGGAGTCTGACAGGCGAGGCTCCCTGGGTGGTGCAGTGATTGAGTTGGGACGTAGTAACCGCTACCCACCCTCTGCAGAAACGTGACATCCAACCCAACGGGGGAGAAACGTCTGATTTCTGTTTCTTTTGGCTCTGCTTTCTCAGGGTCTCTCCAGCACCCGGGCTGCTGAGCTCCTGGCTCGGGATGGGCCCAACACCCTCACCCCCCCCAAGGAAACCCCGAAGATTATCAAGTTCCTCAAGCAGATGGTGGGGGGGTTCTCCATCCTCCTGTGGATAGGAGCCATCCTGTGCTGGATCGCATATGGGATTCAGTACTCCAACGATAAGTCCTCCTCCCTGGACAGCGTGAGGCCCTGGGGCTCCTCCTGGGTTTGGTGGTAACGGGGCGGGGGGCGGTGAGGAGTCAGCACCGTAACGCAAGGGCAGAGCACTGGGCTGGGGTCAGGGGTCCACCACTGATCAGTCACCACGTGAGTTTGAGAAAATCAGTCATTTTCCAAAGTGTAAAACAGAAATTACATCTGACATTCTGGTGTCTCAGAGGCAGTATGAGCATGAATTTTTAAGAGAGAGAGAGAAACACAAAAGTTCCTTCCTACGTGGAGAAAAAGGATCCCTGTCCACGTGAAGTGCTTTTGGGCTTTCTCTCCTCAAAGCTATTCTCTCCCTTTGCTGTGGAGAGCTTCTGTGCCTGCTGATAACGGAGGACTGAAACACAAAACTGTATTGGCCGACACGATGCTGAGAGAAGGAAGCCAGCTGAGAAAGGCCGCATACTGCACGATTCCATTGATGTGAAATGTTCAGAGCAGACCCGCCCTGGATTCAGAAAGCAGAGCCGTCGGGCTGCCAGGGCTGGGCTGGAGTGGGGAGTGATGGCCAGTGGGCTCAAGGGGACTTACTGGGATGACGGATTGTGGTGACTGTTGCACACTGTGTACCTTATTAACGATCCCTTCGTTATATACTTCAAGTGTGTAAATTGTGTGCCTGCTCTTTACACCAGGACGCTACTGCCATGTCTCTCGCTGGCCATGGAGCACCCTGGCCCTAGGCTCCGGCTCATTCCTGATGCTTGTTTTTCTGATCGATGCCTGTCCCCCTCTCCCAGGTGTACCTGGGCTCCGTGCTTGCCCTGGTGGTTATTTTAACCGGGGCGTTTGCCTATTACCAGGAGGCGAAAAGCACCAACATCATGGCCAGCTTCCGCCAGATGATTCCACAGGTGGGTGAGGCACCCACTGTGGTGTCTGCGAGACTTGAGATGAGCGAGCATCAGGCTGGGGGAGTGGAAGAGCTTGGAGGCCTGGGCTCCCTCCCTGCTGCCTGCAAAGTGACCTAATCTCTGTGGAGCCCCTGTTTCCTCTCCGGGTTTTGAGACGATCAGCAAGATAAAATGGAGAAAAGCGCTTAGTCGAGAGCAAAGTGGGACAGGGACATGAGGCGTTGCACAGCATCTCCTGTGGTTTCTCCTCAGCGCTGGTGAACTGTTTAGACAAAAGCAGTCCAGGGGGCTCCGAGCGGGAACCAAGGAGGCCGACCTGGGATTCTTTAAGTGTCACCCTCTTTGCTCCCATTTCCCAGCCTCCCCACATGTGCTCTCAGTATGGGAGGCGCCCCCATCCCTCCGCCCACAGGAACCCAGGAGGGGTCCTCTAGGGAGACCATGCACTGCTGTCAGCGTGGCAGGAAAACCGCACCCTCGCTGGTCTGCAGAGCTGCTGGACAGAGGGGACTCTGGGTGGGATCTTCTGTGCTAGGAAGTGGAGACCCTTCTCTCGCGCCATTAAAGTTTTCCCGACCTGAGCAAGATTGTTAAACCCTTTGGCTCAACCTTCAGGAGTCTTCCTGGACCTCCCAGCAGGATCATTCATCCTTAATGGTCTCCCTTCCCGCCAGGCTCAGGGCTGTCGCTTTGCTGTACCCTCCCATGGCAGAATTTTCTGGGTCAAAGAATATCTCCATGAGCTCCTTCTCAAGAAACAATAGTTCTTAGGGTCTTCAGGCCCCAAGTAAAAGTCTTTGTTTCATTTTCTGCTATTCTGACAGCTGTGGGTCCTAGTGCCTCCCTTCCTGAGGTCTGGAGAGGGTGCAGGACTGCCATCGTCATTCCAGGAGGGAATCTGAGGCCTGGGTCATGATTTTCTTTCGCAGCAAGCTCTTGTCGTTCGAGATTCAGAGAAGAAGACAGTTCCTGCAGACCAGCTGGTGGTGGGGGATATAGTGGAGATTAAAGGAGGAGACCAGATCCCCGCGGACATCAGGTTGCTGTCTGCTCAGGGGTGTAAGGTGAGCGTCACAGGCGCCCCAAGGATCGTGCTCATGACCAGCTGGCTTGCTGTGGTCTTTCCAGGTCTCAGCATAACTGGGGAAGGGACAAGGTGCCCGACCCTGAACTTGTTTCAAAACTTCTAGGTAGACAACTCGTCTCTCACTGGGGAGTCTGAGCCCCAGCCCCGCTCCTCTGAGTTTACCCATGACAACCCCCTGGAGACAAAGAATATCAGCTTCTTCTCCACAACCTGTCTGGAAGGTAAGTCCAGCTGCTTGCAGGACCGCATGTTCCGCTCATAGCGCTTCTCCGTCTTCAGGCTTTGTTTTCCTCTCTTTACCATCACTTGCTGCAAAGCTTCTCCAAGAGAAGACGTGGAATTGAAGAACCTAGAGAGCTGGTGTTTGGCCTTAGTAATGTCATGTGCTGACTGGCCACGTAAGCCACCAAAGAGAGGTCCGTGAGGCTGTGGTCCCTCCTAGCTGAGGACCCCCAGAATAAAATGTCTGCTCCACCTGCAGGCACAGCGACTGGCATGGTCATCAACACGGGTGACCGCACCGTCATTGGGCAGATCGCCTCGCTGGCTTCGGGAGTCCAGAACTCGAAGACGCCCATTGCCATCGAGATCGAGCACTTTGTTCACATTGTGGCAGGAGTGGCAGTCTCCATCGGCGTCCTTTTCTTCATCATCGCAGTGTCCATGAAGTATTATGTCCTGGACTCCATCATCTTCCTCATTGGCATCATTGTGGCCAACGTGCCTGAGGGTCTCCTGGCCACTGTCACTGTGAGTCTGCACTACTAGTGGTCGTACGCTGACCCTGCTAACATGCCATTCTGCTGTGCTGGGTGAGCGCCCACCACGGCTGAGTCTGCTCCGTCAGGGGCAACCGTGGTACATTCTGAACAGACTGTTTCTTAGAGGGACAAAAAGAATTGTGATTTGTTAATATTTGAATGCAATGTCCTTGAAAACTTATATTTTCATTTTCAGGAGATCTGTCTGCAAATCCCTTAAGATCTAGATAAGACAGCCTTGAACCACCATTTATGGATTTTCTAGAAGCCGGATACCTCCCCCCACATTTCCACTGTTCTCAAAAGGAAAACAAACCAACAAACTCCTTTAGCAGTTTCTACAGCTGAGGGACTTGAGCACACTTTTTACCTCGCTTCTCTTCCCTCTCAGACTCCCACGGACACACACAAATGCTTCTGTGTGTTCCTGCAGAGCAGTTCAGCCCCTTCCTGTGCTTACGTCCAGGTTCAGCTTTGGTTCTCCCTGCTTAGCTCACCCTTGAACAAGGCCCTTCTCTGCGGTGCGGACCCCCCCCCCACAGGCAGGGAAGAGGACCTCGTATCTTCAGTCCTGTGTGAAGGTGGCCTGGCGCCATCCTGAGCAAAGACAGAAGTTTTTGATTCCAGGTCTCCTCTGACTCCAGCAGAGAGTAATTTGACAGAATTGGAGGCAAACAGAACCCTTTGAGATCTGCAGGGTTCAGAGAGAGCGAAGAATGTTTAAATATGGAGCTCTTAAAGTGAAACAAATGCTTCTTGATTCCCCAAAGCAGCAAGGCAGCCCTTTGGGACAAGCCCTTTGGCAAGCAGCGGTGGAAGTCCGTCTTACGCGTTCTTGCTTGTGAATGACAGCCAAGGCCCCCTTTGTAATTACACATGACTTGCCTGGCTCTGCGACCTGTGGGCGCCTTAGGATCATTTTCCTGAAGGGGCAAAGGGACAACAGAGTGTTCCACATTCAATAGAAGGAAGGGCTGTGGCACGTCCATGTATAGGGCTTTACGGGCTTTACAGGCTTTCTCGGTCACTGGGGCCGATGCGGCTTTACTGCATCTACAACCATACCTGACACCAGTCCAGCTCTACCTGTTTCTGCATTATTGAACCCAAGTTCAAAAGGGTGGTTTTTCTCCAAGCTTCTCCCTCTCTCCTCCATCTAGGTGGCTCTGTCACTGACAGCAAAACGCATGGCCAAGAAGAACTGCCTGGTGAAGGGCCTGGAGGCAGTGGAGACCCTTGGTTCCACCTCCATCATCTGCTCAGACAAGACGGGGACCCTAACCCAGAACAGGATGACCGTGGCCCATCTGTGGTTCGACAACCAGGTCTTCGTGGCGGACACTAGCGAAGACCATTCGAGTAAGTCTTCGGGCGCGTCCAGCCTGGCCCTGCACTGCGGACTCAGCCCTTGGGGTGAATAGTGCTGTTCGTGGGTGCGAGCCCAGCACCCTTGGCATCCCCTGTTCTTCTTTCCAGATCAAGTCTTTGATCAAAGCTCTGCAACCTGGGCCTCCCTGTCAAAGATCATAACGCTGTGTAACCGCGCTGAGTTCAGACCAGGACAGGAGAGCGTCCCCATCATGAAGGTGAAGGCCCTGCACACGGTCTCAGTTACAGGCAGAGCCACGTCACTTCCTTGTTCTGATTTGGTGCTTGACTTAATCTCTGCAGCTGAGTAGGTTTATGCTGTAAGAGCAAGTCTAATCACAAGACCTGTAGAAAACTTTTTTCGCTGTAACTAGCTTCGAGAAATCTAAAAGTTCTCAGAATATTCACTTGGGCCTTTTGAAAATTCTGTCTCTTTCCAGAAAATGAATGTGCCTTTAAGTTACTTTCCTAACTTCTTTATCAGCTAAGAAGATATAATCAAAGGTTACTTATTACATAAATGCCATTCACTGATGTTTAACATGTAATCGGCTGGAAATAGAAGGAGGGGTCTTGGAGCGTATTCCTCTGGGCTGCCTGGAGCTCTTGTATAATTGCAATATATGAAACTTCTCTCTCTCCTCCCCTCCTTTCCTCCCTCTCCCTCTCAGGAGTCACCGAGTCTGTGTCCTGGCTTTCCTGTTTGCCATCTGTTTCCTTCATTGACTCTCACTTGTATTTTTTGTTTGCTTTTCTTTGTCAGCCAGCTCATTAATTCTCCTTTCGGCCAATCACTTCTCTGTGTCTTTCAAGCCCTTGTCTCCAGTTCTCATTTCTCACCCAAGTTCCAGGCGTTTCCAGCTCGCTGTGTGTGTTTCCACTGGGAGGTTTTGCAGGCTAGACACTCAACATACTATACTTGTCACCTTCCACCTGTACCCACACTTGCTCCAAGTTAATATCTTATCCCAAATTTTCTGTTTTTCTATGCTGCAACCATTTTACTTGTCATCCTTTTGGAAGTCATCTTTAACTTACTCCTTCCCAAATATCTAGTGAGTCAACAAGGCCTATTACTCTTGTTTCAGAACATCCAACTTTACATTTCTGTTATCACTAATACCTTGCATCGGAACAATTGTACCAACCTCTTAACTGGCCTCCATGATTCTGGTTTATCCCTCCCCTGTCTTTCTTGCATGCCACTAATTTTCCTGTCTTTCTTGCATGCCACTAATTTACTTCATTAGTTAGATGGACTACTTCATCTGACTTTGCTCAAAAACTTTCCATGCTTCTCTATTTTCTGCTTCTCGAGTGTAGGCCTCAGTGCTTGCCTTTTGGGGTTCTTTACATCTGCCACATTCTCCGTGTCCACCTGTGCTTCAGCACTCACGATAGAGTTTCCCCACCACGTGCCTTCCTTCACGGCTTTCTGGTTTCTAGAAGGCTTTCTTCTGCTCCTCTCTCTGTAGGTAACCCACCTGTCTTTCTCTTTTTTTTTTTTTTTTTTTTTTTTTTGCGGCTTGCAGGATCTTAGTTCCCTGACCAGGGATTGAACCCGGGCCCTGGCAGTGAAAGCGCGGAGTCCTAACCACTGGACCGCCAGGGAGCTCTCCCCACCTGTCTTTCAAGATCTAGTTCATAACTGCTTTTTTCATGAAAACTTCCTGCTCTCAGAGCTCTCACTTTTCTGAACTCCCCTAATGCCAGCAGGTGGCGCCCTGCAGTTAACAGTCCTAAGTCAGTCACCAATTGTGCGGTAATTGTTTTCTCTCTCCAGGAGATAGTAAGCTTAGGTTCTGTGTTGGTTCGTCGCAATTGATCAGAGAAGAACCAGATTATGTGCTGCAACTATTTATCTCTTGATTCGCAGAAAGCTGTGGTTGGAGATGCCTCAGAAACTGCTCTTTTGAAATTCTCAGAGGTCATTTTGGGTAACGTGATGGAAATTAGAAAAAGAAACCGCAAAGTAGCTGAAATACCTTTTAACTCAACCAACAAATTTCAGGTGAGTTTTTCGTCACAACTGAATCTTTATCATCACTAGAACAGCATTTCCACCTGTGTAAGTATCCTTTGGTTAATATGTATTGTGAATGATACTTGACTTCAAAAATAGTCCTCAGAGATGCAGGGCCTGGACGTCTGGTAAACCCGTAAGAGGTTTCCCTGAAGTAAGTATAGAAAAAGAACGGTGAAGGTCCTGCCGTTCCCACGCGTGATCTATCTGTGTGACGTACACACTCACACGCACACAGACGCAACAGCACCCGCACTGGGTAACTTTGGCCAAGGAGGGGCAGCGGCCACATCCCAAAGGACGAGAGAAGGGTGGGGCATGGGGAGAAGCAGCGCTGCCCCTCGTCTGCATCAGGCACTTTACGTGCTTTGTCTCATTTAATCCTCATTATAAGCCTGTGACGTAGGACCAAGTAACCCCAACTGAAGGGTGAGGAAACAGGCCTTAGAAAGCGCTGAGGTGACAGAGTCACACAAGCATCTAAGTGGCACAAGCACTTTTCACACCTCTGACTCCTGAGTCTATGCTTTTTCTGCCACAGCACAGAGTCTGGGCAGTTCAGTTCAGGCCATGTTGGTAAGCCTTGCCCTTTGTGAAGACCAGTGAGCGCCAGCCACACTGCTCTCCCGTTCTGCCCCCCAGGCAGTACGTAGGGATCTCCTCTCCCCCGTGGCTCAGGAAGAGAATGGTGATCCTTGCCTAGTTGTCACCCCTCATGCCAGGGGTGCCCAGCAGTCATGTTAGGACAAAGGACAGTTTCTAGCCCAAGGTGCTGGCACAGGTGGGATTCCCTGTAGACTCCAAAGCTGAGAGTGGGGCATCGTGACTTGGTCTTTGCATAACAGTAAATTATGTAAATAGGATAACCATGTTTGTGTACAAGTTTCTGGTGATAACCCACACATTTTCTTTTATTTTTTTAAATTAATTAATTTATTTTTGGTTGTGTTGGGTCTTCGTTGCTGTGCACAGGCTTTCTCCAGTTGCGGCGAGCGGGGGCTACTCTTCATTGTGGTGCGTGGGCTTCTCATTGCAGTGGCTTCTCTTGTTGTGGAGCTCAGGCTCTAGGCACGCAGGCTTCAGTAGTTGTGGCTCACGGGCTCTGGAGCGCAGGCTCAGTAGTTGTGGTGCATGGGCTTAGTTGCTCTGCAGCGTGTGAGATCTTCCCCGACCAGGGCTTGAACCCGTGTCCCCTGCATTGGCAGGTGGATTGTTAACCACTGCACCACCGGGAAGTCCCACCCACCCACACATTTTCTTTGGAAGGAATTTAGGACTGGAAAATAACTGTGGCGCAAACATCTTTGTGGATGATTGAACAGTAAAAAATCATGGTTAGCAAAACAGACAACTAACAATGTATGATGTAAAATGTAGAGGAAATCAGATTTCTGTTCAAAAATGTAGTGAAAATAGAATGAGTAGCAATTCTAAAATAATGATTGTAACAATAGTTATCATGTGCTAATTTCCACACTTCTCACAACAATTCTGTTAGACAGTAGAGAAGGAGGAAACAGGACATAGCCAGCCAGGGACAGAGCCAGGACTCAGGCAGACCCAGGGGACCATGCTCTTAGGACTAGACAGGATGGCCTTCCAACCATGAACGAGACTCAGAGTCCCCCCGGGGCTCTGTCTCCTCCAGGGAAGGCTTCCTCGTCGTGTGAGATGTGAGGAAAAGCGGGTTCTGTGAGGCCTCGTGTATGGAATGTTGAGGGTTGGTCTAGAAAGGAGAGGGTCCTTCAGAAGAGGCCAAAGAGCCTCTGGGATGCTATTAGTGCCATTTTATATCCACACACGAGCAACACTCAGCACTAAGCAAGGTGGTTGGGTGTCATGACCTTGGAGGGTCTCTGGGGCCTCGTTCAACCCAAGGAAACAAAGTGGACAGTCTTAGAATAGCAGTTCCCCAAACTGAGACTGGTCCATTAAAATATTTTCCATAGTTTATGGCAAATTGAAAAATTAGGACAATATTTTATAAAATTTTATATAGAGATGAAAGAATTGAATTTAGAAGATTATCCTTTATGTCCTGCATGGTTAGGGCAGGGACTCTGGGGCCTGCTGGCCAGAATTCAGGTCCCACCTCAGCCCACTGCTAGCGGTCACTGAACTCTCTGCACCTCAGATTCCTCCCTTGTAAAAGGCAGTAATAATGGTACCCATGGCCATAGTTTTGAGAATTAAATGAGTCCATTTAATTTCTGGGCACTCAGAACAGTATACACAATAAAAGTATTTATTATTTCTACTTTAAGTGTTAAAATGCCCTACCTTTCAGAAAATGATAGTGACAGTAGGTGGAGGTTTTTGGTTCGGTTAGTTGGTTTTTTTAATGTCGCTACTTGGCAATGTGAAAAAAGCTGCAACCTTGCGTTTGCCCTCCATGGTTTTTTTTTTTTTTTTTTGTACTCATCTCTGATATCCAAAAGTCTATAAACTACTGGTTTAGAATCAACTGGTAGACCCAAAATGATAGAATTTTTCTTTGTAACTTACTCATTCTCTCCCAAACACTCCAGCTTCCTAAAATTCTTTCCAGGGCTTAGAAGGGTACCTGGTATAAAATAAGGTCTAGACTTAGCCACTTTATTATTGTCTATAAATTTTTCCACAGTTTTCCCGATTATCTTATTAGGGTACATCTAGAAGTAGAATTGTGAGGTCAAAGGGTAATGATGGTAAAGTTGTGATTCTTGTTACTTAGCTGTCCCCCCAGAGGCCTGAGCGTGAGAGGCTGTCCTCACAGCCCTCACGTCCTCTGTCACATCCAGATAATGACGCTGCCCACGTGCCTGACTGAGTGCAGGACGTTTCGGGTCTGCAGGGAGGGCAGTCAAGGCAGGAGGTGAGACAAGGCAGCTCCCAGCCCTCTGACCCCACGGTCGCCCCAGGAGATCGTGTTCAAGGCAGCAGGTTTCACAGGACGACAGCGCATCAGGCCTCCCTAAAGCAGCCAGTTTCTGTTTGAGAGACAGGCTGAGTTTCCCCCTGCGAGACACCCTGATTCAAATTCAAGGTGTCCCCCTGGGCTGGGACAGAGTCTAGCTCTCTGCATATTGCTTGGGTAGAAAGGACAGAATGTGCCTGCAGAGGACACTCCTTCTTTATAAATCAAGGACCAGTAGCCAACAGAGAAAGGGGTGTTTTTAATCTTGTCGTGTTGCTCATTTAAAGATGTGTCCAGTTCAGGCCCTTAGTAGTAAAGACGGTGTCATTGCCCGATGCCACACTGAACATGCTCGACCCCTTTCCCCCGCAGCTCTCCATACACGAGACAGACGACCCCAGTGACAAGCGTTTCCTCATGGTGATGAAAGGGGCCCCCGAGCGGGTCCTGGAGAAGTGCAGCACCATCATGGTCAACGGCCAGGAGCAGCCTCTGGACAGGAGCACGGCCAAGGCCTTCCACACGGCATACATGGAGCTGGGCGGCCTGGGGGAGCGCGTGCTGGGTGAGCAGAGCCCTGATCCCGCCCGTGAGGCCCGCGGCTCTCTGCCGGCCTCCGGCACACGAGGAGACAGGCCTGCGATGTAGCGGAGTAGCTCTGGCGTCCACTTGAGTCATAAAGGAGAAATGGTCAACGTACAAGAGACAATGTGTGATGGATAGTGTGCGGGGCGGTCCCTTCCAGATCAGGGAAATCTGGGAAGTTACCGTGGGACGGGTTGCATTTCATTCTGGACTTGGAGTGAGGGAACTTGAAGGGAGGTAGGGAGCGCACTCACGCAGAGGGAACCTCGTGGGCCAGAGCACAGCGGTGGGAACGGATGGAGTGGCACGCGCCTTGTCGAGGCTGCAGGTGGACGAGGTACCACGGTCCTGGGACACAGGGCTAGGAGAGTCGTGTGGAGGTCGGCTTGCAGCGCCCTTCTTGGCGAGGACAGGAGCAGAGTAGGTCTCAGCAGGAGGTGCTGCCCTCACTCAGGCGAAAAGGGATTTGATCCCAGGCAACGGGAACGTGAAGGTCACATACAGAGACTGTGGAGGCACAATTGGTAAGACTTAGCAGCTAATTAGAGCGGAAAAGTAAGTTTAAAAAAATGTTGAGGGGCCTTCCTGGTGGCGCAGTGGTTGAGAGTCCGCCTGCCGATGCAGGGGACACGGGTTCGTGCCCCGGTCTGGGAAGATCCCACATGCCACGGAGCGGCTGGGCCTGTGAGCCATGGCCGCTGAGCCTGCGCGTCCGGAGCCTGTGCTCTGCAACGGGAGAGGCCACAGCAGTGAGAGGCCTGCATACCGCAAAAAAAAAAAGAAAAAAAAAATGTTGAAGCTTCCCACTGAGCAGTTAGGGAAAACGTACTGCCAGTAACTGAGAGAAGGGGGCGTTAGAGGTGGAAGGAACCTTAGAAGCACAGCCACCGTGGCAGAAGCCTGTCAGTGGCAACGTAAGGGGTATCACAGGACATGTTCTGCTGGGAGAATCGGGGGCCATCGAAACAGCAGCTCTGAACGACAGGGTGATGGATGGGTTCAAGGTAGCAGAAGTTCATACTGACGATAAGGCTCATTAAACATTGTGAAAGCTCTTGCCAGTAGAGATGGAATCTGTGGAATGTGTGTTTCTAAAGGACATTTGCGTCTGCAAAGCAAATAAAATACGTAAGTGAGTTGATAATGCTTGAGGCGCGCCCCACAGCACCAAGTAGTCTTTCAAGGCAGGATTGCTGCCCGTCTGAGTTGCTCTAGGACCCTCACGTTTGACCTTTCCCTCACATGTGATTAAAGGCTGAACATCATGCCCTTCCCCTGACGCCCCAGTTCCTTCCCCGGTTTGCGCAGGAGCACATTTTGTTTTCTCTGCCGAAAAGGGCCTTCCCACCGCCTGTCCTCCCTTCTTTCCCCAGGAAACATCCGACTCCTTGCTCAAGAGTGAGCTCACATGACCTCCTCGGTGAAGTCTTTCCTGTTCTCAGGTGGCTGAGCGTAGCCCTGCTCTGTGGTACTCACCACGCTCCGGGCTCTTCATCTCTTTGTGTCTGTCCCCCACTAAACTTCAACCTCTTGGGAAGTAAAGGCTGTCCACTTCTGGGCTTTCTGTTTCCAGAACGTAACAGAGAACCTAATGGGCACAGAGTAAATTATTTTGGGATGAAACATGTCTTTCCTAAAAACAACATGTGTTATGGAACTGAAGGAATTAAACAGTTCTGGTTAAACTCTAAAGGACTGAGAGTGTATGAAAATGTTCCTTCTTTCTTTCATTCTTTTTTCTTTGTTGTTGTTCCTTCTTTCTTGTGTCATTTCTTATCCTAGTTTCATTGACTCCCAAATTTATACCCATTTCAGGTTTCTGTCATCTCTACCTGCCAGCAGACGAGTTTCCAGCAACCTATTCATTTGATGTAGACACAATGAACTTTCCTACTTCCCACTTCTGTTTTGTGGGCCTCTTATCGATGATCGACCCGCCTCGGTCCACGGTCCCTGATGCGGTCACCAAGTGCCGGAGTGCAGGGATCAAGGTGGGACTTACACATTCCTGAATTAACAAGTCCTCCATTGATGTTGGATCCCTTTCTAGGAACATTTGTCATGGGAGAGTCAGTATTTAGGTCTCTTCAACTAAATGTCATAATTCCCCTTTTTTTAGTCTCCACTTTCACTGTACTAAGATTTCAGTAACTGTCCCATAAAAGCAAAGTGATTGTGTCTGTGTGGAATAAACCACAAGAGTAACTGCAGCGAGCAGAAAGCTGTGTCCCTGTGCCATGAGGTGGTCACATCTTGCCCTAGACTGTGATAGACAGTAATAGGTTTTATTACTTAATCTCGAGGTCCAGCTTCCATACTCCATTTCCCTCATGATATAAAAGCCAAAATATGAATTCCATTACCGTGTAAATGGCAAGGCTGTGGAGCATCACGAAGCTGCCCAAGGAGACATCCTGTCAGCCCTTTCACAGATAAAGTTATGTCCGAAGGAAAGGCTGGATGTCAGAGGAGGAAATGTAAGAAGCTTAGGAGCAAGGGTAGATCTCGTGGGATCAGTGTGCCCTTCAAAGACAGCTGCTTCTTTGACCTAAAGATCAAGGACGACTCATTAGGGCAAAGCATAGTCATCCCTAGCCGTGCTGTATGGGGCCATGGTGGAGCAGGCGATGCCGAGTTGTCCCTGCTCAGGTACCTGAGCCCCTCACCGTCTACATGCCCTTCTCATTGTTTGTGTTCTAGATCATCATGGTTACTGGCGATCATCCAATCACAGCCAAAGCTATTGCCAAGAGTGTAGGTATCATTTCCGCCAACAGTGAGACAGTGGAAGACATTGCAAAACGCCTCAACGTTGCTGTGGCACAGGTTAACAAGCGGTGAGCTCGGAACCCACCCAGCAGAACTCAGGTTCTTAGCCACGGGGCCCTGTTGCCTGTAAAGAGCCATGCTGTGGGTGCAAACCCCCTTCCTGCCAGACATCCTCTCAGGGTTATGCGAGGCTGCTTTCCTCTATAATGTATGTATCCATTCCTTCCTCAAAATTGGATTGAGCACCGGACATGTGCCAGGCATGGTACTGGTGCCATGAGGGTTACCTGTATGCATGTCTTGTATGAAATTTCAACCCAATGAAGCAGATCTGAAAACTTAAGTGCCTAACTTAGCGTGAAGAAACTGAAGCAAAGACTTTACAGGAAATTACCAGCCATTGATGCAGTTGTGTAATCAAGAATATTGAGAACACTTTGCATTCCATGTGCCCTCCCAGTCTGCATCTTGCGTATTTATTCCATTGGCTTCATAATGTGTAGCTATGGAAACATACTTCTCTTTACTTTTTACTTGGTAGTAAATAGAATGGAAGCTTCGTAAGGAAAGACTGGTTTTCTTGTGTCTCCTAATTCTTTAAATCATGTTCATCCTTTAGTCCAGTCATCTGTCCATTTGTTCTGTATTCTTTCAACAAATAATTGTTGAGTGCCTAGTGTCTACCAGGCACTGTGCCAGACACTGGAGCTATAGCAGAAACAGACCAGACACTCTCCCCACATTTGGGGAGCTTTCCATTGAGCCAGAGGGGAAGAAAAATAAATTAATTGTGATGTGGTAAGTTCAGTGAAGGACACACAGGGACAAAGGAGCTGGCAATGGGAGCCTGGACTGTTGATCATTTATATGAGTCAAGGGCTCCAAAGTCTTAGTTTGAAAATTAGTGTCATTGGCTTTATTATACTTTCATGCATGTGGGGAAAAAAGGGAAAAACCAAAGAACCTCTTCTAGTTTACCCAAGCATTTATGCCTTTTAGGAACACAGAGCTGTCAGGTAGTGAATTACTACCAGGGCAATGAATTACCAGTTAAGACAACCAAACAGTTGAACGGCCTCTGGGCACAGCAGCAGTATCTGAAGTCTAAGGGTCTTCCACCGCTCTTTTGTGTCAATAGCATTCATCTATGAAGACAGGTTTGGAGCTTTTGTTTATCTGTTTTGATTTTTTAAATAGTAGGATTATACTTTTTCCTACAAGTTACCACACAGGAGAGAGGGGTGGATGCTTTGTGAACATTTTCAATTGTCCACTGTATCAACTCCAGCTTCATGATCACAGAATAACATTTTTTGCAGCTCTGGGGAGAAAGGAAACACCCTTTCTTTCTTAACTTACTTTTATTTATATATATTTTTGTTAATAAATTTTTTTATTTACTTTTTTATTTATTTATTTTTGGCTGCATTGGGTCTTCGTTACTGAGTGCGGGCTTTCTCTAGTTGTGGCGAGCAGGGGCTACTCTTTGTTGTGGTGCGTGGGCTTCTCATTGCGGTGGCTTCTCTTGTTGCAGAGCACGGGCTCTAGGGGTGCGGGCTTCAGTAGTTGTGGCGCGCAGGCTCAGTAGTTGTGGCGCACAGGCTTAGTTGCTCCGCGGCATGTGGGATCTTCCCGGACCAGGGCTCGAACCCGTGTCCCCTGCACTGGCAGGTGGATTCTTAACCACTGTGCCACCAGGGAAGCCCCATATATATACATTTTCTTACCAGAATATAGGAAGACCTGTAGTTTGAGTCAAGTGCTAGAATTCCAATATTTAGCACCGATAGGAAAGAACAGACCTAAAAAAAAAGCTCAGAACTTTTAGAATGAAAAAAGCATGCAGTGTTTTGTACTAAAGGATGTTTAAGCTGAGATTAGAAGGCTGGAGTGTTCACCAAGGGAAGGGAAGTCGACGTAGCAGGACGTGTGAGCCTTTGCACGGAGAGTCCGGGGGCTCAGAACTGAGAAGCCTAGTGGGCTGCTGGCAAGAGTCAGAAGGGACAGATGGCCTGGGCTGCACCCAGCCCTGCAGACCGAGTAGGGATTCCGGGGTCTGCTCAAAGCACAGCGGAAGCCTCGGGAGAGCGTTCACAGGGGACAGCACAGTCAGATCTGCACATAGTTTCTAGAACCTCACTTTTATAGTCAGCAGTTAAAAGCTTTCCTCAAAGAAGACCTCAATAAACTTCTCTCCCTGCATAGCTCATGGCATAGCAGACACTATAAATAGGAAATGACAGTAAAGAATTGTTACCCATGTGTTTAGGCATACGCTGGATTCTAGGACCCAAAACGTACAAACAGGCAGGTTTATTTACCCTCCTTTTACTTGTTGAGTAAAGCATTGCCCCGGGAAGTACCACCTCTCACACATTCCTGGAAGGAAATGGCTAATTGGCTTTTTCCTACTGTTGAGTGACGCAAGGAAATACCTTATTTGTCAGCCTTGGTTCACTGTCTTGAAATGAGACCAAAGTATCCCGAGTACTCACACACCCGGTTATCCCACCAGAGGACTAGGTGTCAGGACTGTGGGTTCCAGGTAAAATCAAAGAGGTTCAGCCCACCTCCCGCCCAGAACAGTGTTTCAGCCTTGAGCCTCAGCCAGTTCCTGCTGCCCTTCTAGGGACGCTAAGGCCGCTGTGGTGACCGGCATGGAGCTAAAAGACATGAGCCCGGCGCAGCTGGACGAGCTCTTGGCCAACCACTCGGAGATCGTCTTTGCCCGGACGTCCCCCCAGCAGAAGCTGATCATTGTGGAGGGCTGTCAGAGGCAGGTGGGTGGACGCAGCACTGGGGGAACCTTCCAGGTGTGTCACCATCCCACGGGGACATGCAGCGCTGAGCGCTGGGCCCCCATCCTCACCACCCCACATCTCCACCCGTCGGGGCTGACCCTCTGCTCACCTTGGGGCCTTGTGACAGGGAAGTTTGGCGCTATGGGGGATGTGAGTGGACGCAGAACAGAAAGCGCAAAGCCATAAGACAGCGTACCCACTGTCGCCTGCACACACACTGGGTTTTTTCCCTCCAGTTTTGTGGAGATATAATTGACGCACAGCACTGTATAAGTTTAAGGTGTGCGGCATAGCAATCTGACTTGCATATGTCATGATTATCACAGTAAGTTTAATGAACAGCTGTCTCATATAGATACAAAATTAAAGAAAAAGAAAAAAGAATTTTTTCCTGTGATGGGGACTCAGGATGAATTCTCAACAGCTTTCCTGTAATGTTGTGTGTTACATCCCCAGCACTCCTTGTAACTGGGAGTTGGTACCTTTGACCCCCTTCCTCCAATTCCACCTCTCCTCACCCCCCACCTCTGGTAACCACAAATCTGATCTCTTTTTTTATGTGTTTGTTTGTTTGTTTGTTTTTACGTATAATTGAGCTACAACACTGTTAGTTTCTGGTGTGCAACATAATGATTTGATATTTCTTTACAATTCAAAATGATCACAACAATTAATTCAATTACCACCTGTCACCTTACAAAGATATTACATATTGACTGTGTCTCCCACGCTGTACATTTCACCCCTGCCACTCATTTATTTTGTAACTGAAAGTGTGTCTTCATCCCCCATGCTTGTTTCACTCAACACCCCCACCCTCCCCTCTGGCAACCACCTGTTCTCTGTATCTATGACTGTTTCTGTTTTGTCATGTTTGTTCATTTGTTTTGTTTTGTAGATTCCACATATAAGTAAAATCATATGCGATCTGTCTTTCTCTGACTTATGTCATGTGGAGCATAACACCCTCTAGGTCCATTCACATTGTTGCAACTGACAAGATTTCATTCCTTTTTCTTATGGCTGAGTAACAAATTTACACACCACATCCTCTTTATCCATTCACCTATTCATGGGCATTTGGGTTCCTTCCGTATCTTGACTATTGTAAATAATACTGCAATGATCACTGGGGTGCATGTATCTTATCTAATTGGTGCTTTTGTTTTCTTCAGAAAAATACCCAGAAGTGGAATTGCTGGATCCACTGGTAGTTCTATCTTTAAATTTCTGAGGACCCTCCATACTGGTTTCCATAGTGTCTGCACCAATTTACAGTCCCATCAACAGTGCACAAGTGTTCCCTTTCTTCCATATCCTTGCCAACACTTGCTATTGGTTGTATTTTTTTTTGTCTTTATTAAATTTATTACAATATTGCTTCTGTTTTATGTTTTGATTTTTTGGCCACGAGACACTTGGGATCTTACTTCCCCAACCAGGGATTGAGCCCGCACCCCATGCACTGGAAGGAGAAGTCTTAACCACTGGACCGCCAGGGAAGTCCCTGGTTGTCATTTTGATAATAGCCATTCTCACAGGTGTGAGATGGTACATCATCGTGGCTTTGATTTGCATTTTCCTTATGATTAGTGGTATGGAGCATCTTTTCATGTGCCTGTTGGCCACCTGTATATCTTCTTTGGAGAAATGTCTATTCAGGTCCAGTTTTTAATTGGATTGTTTATTTTTTTAATGTCAGGTTGTATGAGCTCTTTGTATAGTTTGGATATTAACCCCTTGTTGGATATATCATTTGCAAATATCTTCTCCCATTCAGTAGGTTGCCTTTTTGTTTTGCCAATAATTGCCTTTGCTGTGCAAAAGCTTTCTGGTTTGATATAGTCCCACTTGTTCACTTTTGCTCTTGTTTCCCCTGCCTGAGAAGAGAGATCCAAAAAAATATTGCTAAGACTGATGTCAAAGGTGTACTGCCTATGTATCCTTCTAGGAGTTTTATGGTTTCATATCTTATATTCACATTTAAGTCTTTAATCCATTTTGAGTCTATTTTTGTATATGGTGTGAGAAAGTGGTCCAGTTTCATTCTTCTGCATGTAGCTGTCCAGTTTTCCCAACATCATATAGTAAAGAGGCTGTCTTTCCTCCATTGTATATTCTTGCCTCATTTGTTGTAGATTAATTGCCCACATTATTGTGGGTTTGTTTCTGGGCTCTCTGTTCTGTTCCATTGATCCATGTGTCTGTTTTCTGTGCCAGTACCATACTGTTTTGATTACTGTAGCTTTGTGGTATAGTTGAAATCAGGAAGTGTGATACCTCCAGCTTCGGTGTTTTTTCTCAAGATTGTTTCGCCTATTTGGGGTCTTTTATGGTTTCATACAAATTTTATAATTACTTATTCTACTTCTGTGAAAAATGTCATTGATATTTTGACAGAGACGGCATTGAGTCTGTAGATTGCCTTCGGTAGTATGGTCATCTTAACAATATTATTCCAATCTAGGAACACAGTGTATCTTTTTATCTGTCTGTGTCGTCTTCAGTGTCTTATAGTTTTCCGAGTACAGGTATTCTGCCTCCTCAGTTAAATTTATTCCTAGGTATTTTATTCTTTTGGATGCAATTGTGAGTGGGATTGTTTTCTTCATTTCTCCTGAGAGTGCGTTGTTAGCGTATAGAAATGCAACAGATTTCTATTTACTAATTTTGTATTTATTAGTTCTAACAGTTTTCTGGTGGAGTCTAGGATTTTCTTTGCTTAGTCTCAGGTCATCTGCAAACAGTGACAGTTTCACTTCTTCCTTTCCAGTTTGGATTCACATTGGTTTTAATTATTCACACACATCTTGTTTGGGGCTTGTTGCTCTTGCTTCTGGGATTTGCTGTCTTAATCTTTCCCCCCAAACCCAAAGCGGGCCTTCATTTTGCCTCTGGCTGACCTCGCGGCCTCAAGGCAAAGGGAGTGGGTGGCCCCTGCCCAGGCTGCTCACTCACCTCCTCTTGGTGTCCCCACAGGGTGCTATCGTCGCTGTGACAGGGGACGGAGTTAACGACTCCCCGGCTCTAAAGAAGGCAGACATCGGGATCGCCATGGGGATAACGGGCTCTGATGCAGCCAGAAGTGCAGCCGACATGGTCTTGCTGGATGACAACTTCGCGTCCATCGTTACAGGGGTGGAGGAAGGTGAGTGGGGTCTCAAGGGGTCTTAGCAAGGGCTGGGGCCGCCTGCAAAATCAGAAGCGAGTCCTGTAAGGAGAAACGTAACGTCTTTGCCTAGGTCGCCTGATCTTTGACAACCTAAAGAAGACTATCGCGTACACCCTGACCAAGAACATCGCTGAGCTCTGCCCCTTTCTGATCTACATCATCGCTGGGCTTCCCCTGCCCATTGGCACCATTACTATCTTGTTCATCGACTTGGGCACGGACATAGTAAGTAGCCCTAAAGGGAACAGCGTCTGATAAGTTCCCCAGGTGATGGAAACTTCAGAGTCATTACCTTCAAGAGCAAGAGATGCACTAAATCAATGCTTCTCAAACCTCGACGTGATGGGGCCTGAAGTTCTGCATTTCTGACAAGCTCTTAAGTGATGCCGAGTTTGCTGGTCCACCAACCACACTTCAGAGCAAAGGACTAGAGAGATCTGTCATATGTTTGAAAATTAAAACCACTGCCCTCCATATAAGAACTTTTCAAGACATAAGTTCTTCACCATTCCGAAAAAGCATGCCATCAGTCAGTTTCAGCTCACATGCCTCCCTTTTCTTTTGAGAAGATGCAGCTGTCATCAAAGTAGTCCCTGTACTGCTGGGGGCCCAGTGGCTGAAGTGATAACCCACAGCCGCTCCTCGTTAAGTAAAAGGATCTGTGACCCCGAAGCCCCTCACCAAACACAGTAAGAAGTAGCCACGATTAACACTCTGTAAAGCTGCACGCTGACCTACAGTAACGTCACCTAAACCCTCTCCCCTTCTCGGACGAATCCCTTTAAGAAAGCTTCGTGGCAGTTATTCCCGTGGCTCTGGCTTACACAGGTGACAGGCAGCAGCAGAACTCATAGCCCTGCAAGTTGCCGCCTCCTCCCTCATCTCATAGGACAGCTGCAGGGCACCCTCCACACTGCAGGGGGCTGGGGGTATCTTTACCTTAGTGGGGAGCTGAGGCCCCAGAGCCTGCAGTCAGATCACTTTCCAGGCCCTTGAAGTTTGCTCATTTTCTCCACTCTAGTGGTTCTTCCAGGCATCACCGGGGACCTGGTTAGAAATGCAGATTCTCTGCCCTCCAGCGGGGGAGGACCTGTGAGAGGACCACTGGTCAGTGGCGGGGCGAAGTGGGAGAGGACAGAAGGAGAGAAAAGTGCTTTATAACTAGCATTGTTTAGAACTGGAAGCACAAGGCAATGATCAGAAGCCGACTGACTCTTAAATTCTCTACAGATGACGCACCCCGAGGCCTGTACCCTGGAGAGACCAGTTCCCTAACCCCATAGTCCCTGGTTATGCAGCCGCTGTCCCCTTGTGTCATAGTGTTTCAGGGCCGGGCCTCACGGGGTCTCTCTCCCTCTAGATTCCCTCCATCGCCCTGGCTTATGAGAAAGCTGAAAGTGACATTATGAACAGGAAGCCTCGCGACAAGAAGAAGGACAGACTGGTGAACAAGCCACTTGCCGTGTACTCCTACCTGCACATTGGTGCGAGGAGGGGCCTCCCAGAGAATTCTTTTCGCCTTGTGGGGCAGGGTTGGGACGTGAGGAGGAACCCAGAGGAGAATGAGGTCGGGGCAATTCTGAAGTCATTACAGAACCTCTTCTGTTCTTTCAGGCCTCATGCAGGCCCTGGGAGCTTTTGTTGTATATTTCACCGTGTACGCACAGGAGGGCTTTCGACCCAGCACTCTCCTTAACCTCCGGGTGGAGTGGGAAAAGGGCTATGTGAACGACTTGGAAGACAGCTATGGACAAGAATGGGTAAGGGCGGGCCCTCCAGCAGTGTCCTCCTGGGAAGACCGTGAGGGGACAAAGCAGGTGACAGCTTTCTCGGTTAACGGGGCTTGTGGGCCCCTTGGTCACAGCGGTTTGCCTCTTTCGGGGCTCAGCTCACCTCTCGAGTTAGGTGCCTAGAGCTCACCTTTTCACATTAGCTTTGCGATAGGTGTGTAAGAGTAACCAGCCAACATTGCCACAGTTGGGCCAAATCCATTAAGTTAGCATCTTTTCCTACTCAGCTGGTTAAAGGAAAGAAAGGTTTCTTTCCAACCACAAGGAGGTGATCCTCGCTCAGTCTTGGTAAGGGGGAGAGAGTAGAGGCTTACAGCAGTGTGCTGGTGCCTCCCTGAAGTTTCCATCCTGGCCCTCATGGACTTCTCTTTCTCTGGCCGTTGACAGACAAGCTACCAGAGGAAGTACCTAGAATGGACGGGCTACACAGCATTCTTTGTTGGCATCATGGTCCAGCAAATAGCAGATCTGATCATCAGGAAAACCCGGAGGAATTCCATCTTCCAGCAGGGTCTCTTCAGGTACGGCCGGCATCCACCCTCATGGTTCAGCCTGGGCCTTTGCTGCAGGGATGACGAGGCGTTGACTGTGCTGGGTGTGTGGGGCTGAGCCTGGGAGTTCAGAATCTGTTTGCTTTTGTGTCTTACAGAAATAAAGTCATCTGGGTGGGGATTGCCTCGCAGGTTATCATCGCGCTAATCCTCTCCTACGGCCTCGGGAGTATCGTGGCCCTGAACTTCACGATGCTCCGGTGAGGTTCCCTTCAACAGTGGGGAGGGAGGAGTGAGCCCCCATCTGCTGTCACGGCCTAAATAATCACTAGGGTTCCAGAGACTCTTTCCCCTCTAGTCTTTCAAAGGAGGTAAAATGGCACCGGTTTTATATCAGTCCGAGCCTTTGACCCACTAGTTTTTTTCAGAAGACGAGGTGGGTTTTCCATCCCTCACCATCCCATCTGTACCCTCGTCCGGCAGACCACTTCCCAGGCAGGCGTTGTTTCTAGTGGTCACGGTCCAGTGTGGTTTTACGCTGTGTGACGCAATGGCGTCGTTCTCTCCAGTGAGGCTGGGAAGTGACCGAGAAGCTCCTCCACTTGTGGGGCGGGCCCCCCTCTGGGTGCGTGGGTCTCACCTCCCTCCCTCCGCCCCCTCCCAGGCCTCAGTACTGGTTCGTGGCTGTACCACACGCTGTTCTGATCTGGGTGTACGATGAGGTGCGGAAACTGGCCATCAGACTCTACCCTGGAAGTAAGTAGTAGTATGATTTGGGGGTCTCTGTCTAGTGCAACAGACTCCCCTCAGTTTCTAGCTTACTGTTTTCTACCTCTATAGGCTGGTGGGATAAGAACATGTACTATTAAGACCACCTTACTTCCCGAGCCCCCAGCTGCACGTCAGAATGTTCTTCATCTTCCGGCCGCCAGCTGGGCGATTGCAGCCGTGGGGACATCGTCAGAACGCGTTTAAGAAATGACAGAACTGTAGGAAAGATGCTCACTAATGTTTTGTAATTTAAAGCAGAGATTTAACTGTTCATACATGATTTTAATTTATATATCTATCTCGTTATTTTAAAATATGTGAATTTCAAGGGAACGGTGTAGGGAAGCATGGCGTGTTTATATGTATATAAAGGTCACTCGTGTTAAATAATCTCGGGTAATCCAGACATCTGCTGGGGTCTCGCTGTCCCTTAATTCTAGACAGGACTGCTCAAACCTCCATTCCACACTCTGTTAAAAGTCCAGTGACCTCCCTAAGATTCCTGTGAATTCCCAGGGAATTTATTACTTCACAGTCACCTTGCTCAGAAAAGGCTAATTCAGCTAGAGGTTTGCAAGGGCTGAAGCGATGGCACATTTACATCACAGCAACTGGGACGACCTCAGTTTGACTCTGAGGCGTGGTCCTGTGATGCCCTCCCTCCTCCCAAGCTGACCACCCTGACCACCAGCTCCAAAAGGGAGCCCCGGGGCGTTGGCATAGGCTAGCCCCAGGTTCTCCCCTGGCCCAAAAGGGTTTTCATTTACCAGGATTCATCCTCAGTGGAGGACCACTGTGACTTAACACGTAATATTTATTTCTTGTAAGACAGTCGCAAAGCACTCCGCAGCGCTAATTTTATGTTTCATGCTTTAACTTAGGTTTATTCATGTGTAACATGTGTGCTCACACCCATATTGACACCCCAGAGAGGCCTCGTTTTTGAGTAAAAGATGTTTTATAAAACCAGGCCTGAGGGTGGTGTTCTAATTAATTTGAGTTTGTCTAAAATGCACAGCATAGGACAGATGTGATTTCAGTTTTTTTTTTTTTTTACTTCTTCTGGTCATTTTACTTGTCCATGGAAGGTCTGAACTCTTCCCTCACCAACATCGCTGCTTTGTCCCCTCTCTGATGTGCGCTCACTTTTAAGGCAGAGTTTCTGTGGAAGGGTCTGTCCAGCAGCAGCAGCGTGCGAGAGAAAGCTGTTTTCACAGCCTTTCCGTCATCAGCTGCACGCCCAGCACAAACTGATTTGACAGGATGACATTGGTGAGCTTTTCCCATTCAGTGGCTGCTTCTCCACCTCTTCTCCATCATTCGCGCAGGCAAGGACATTCTGCTGCTGACGGCGCTAGGTTGTGTCTCTGGAGCAGGAAAAGGGAGTCTTGGAGCCATGGTTCTCTGCCGTGTTCTCAGGGCCATCATTGTAACTTCATGTAAATAGATCATAGTGCACTGTGTCACTGTGTATATTGAAGTTAACATAATGTATTTAATCTCGAGGCTTTTCATCTCTGTCTTCAGCTGCAATTATCACTGGACTAATCTGACGTTAGTAATTCAGTGAACCGGAACCCTTTCCAGGCAGCGTCGTGACGGCCTTCTCATTCCAGTCCTGGCAGGGCAGTAATGCTTCCTAAACTTCAACTAAGAATAATCTGTCCTCACTCTTTTCCCTGCCAGGCTGTCCAAGTGCCCCTAGCTGTGATGGCTGGCAGCTTATGGTCCTGCCAGAGCCAGTGGGAGAAGGCTGTAAATAGAGCACAAAGCTGTAAGGGGTTTATGGTGGGTTGGATTACACTTGAAAGGAGTTAAATTTGAAGTAGAGGAACCCTGTCTGGAATAACTTTCATATTGTACGTACCTACCCTCGCAAAAAGCTGACACTCAAATGTTTGTAAAATGAATAAGTAACAAATTTAAGGAATCACAGAAATGATATCAAGTTATATCAAGTAGCTTGATTAAGTTTTAGACAGAAAAGAGGCAATAAAATCTCATATCAGAGGGTTTTTGTTTTGTGTTGTTTTAGAGAGACTGCTTCATTGACCCACTAAGGCCTAGACACTTTTTAGAAAAAATAACAGTTAATTTAAATCTAATTGGTGTGGCAGAGTAACTCAGAGATATAGAGATGAGGCTGGATTTATAGAGCATTTTTTAAAACAATCTGTTTTATTCTGATTATAAAATTATAACTCATCTTAGAAAATTTGGAATATCCAAGAGTAAAAAGAAAATTAAAACCACCGAGAATCTCACTACCTAGTTATATACCTAAACAAGAGTGGTTATTTCTTTAGGGTTTTTCTATGCATATATTTATTTTTAGGCAGAATTGAAATATAAAGTTTTCCATTCTGCCTTTTTATTTAACATGGAAGATATGGTTCTACTGACTACACATTATTCCATGTTGAGAGTGCTTTTCCATATCCCCACTGTAGGATGGCGCATCTATTTCCTACTGGTCATCTGTTTGTTTTTTTTTTTAAGGTTGCATCTTGTCACTAAATCTTATACCACATATCTCTTTTTTTCCCATAAATTTATTTATTTTTGTTTATGATTTTTGGCTGTGTCTTCGTTGCTGCGCACAGGCTCCTCTAGTTGTGGCAAGCGGGGGCTGCTCTTCATTTGCTGGGTGTGGGCTTCTCATCGTGGTGGCTTCTCTTGTCGCGGAGCATGGGCTCTAGAGCACACGGGCTTCAGTAGATGTGGCGCGTGGGCTCAGTAGTTGTGGCTCACAGGCTGTAGAGCGCGGGCTCAGTAGTTGTGGCGCACGGGCTTAGTTGCTCCGCGGCATGTGGGATCTTCCCGGACCAGGGCTCGAACCCGTCCCCTGCATTGGCAGGCGGAGTCTTAACCACTGCGCCACCAGGGAAGCCCTATACCACATCTCTTATTATTTTATAATAGATTCCTCAAAATGGAATTAAGGGGTTAAGAGTATTTTTAAGGCTCTTGATAAATAGTGCCAAATTTATTCTCAGATAAGCTGTAGCAATTTATATTCCTGCCAGCAGTAATAAAGTGAATATCTTGCCTGTCAATAGGATATGAAAGATCTGTCAACTATAAGAGATTTTTATTCATTCAGTGTCTGCCGTGCAGTCTGAGAAAACAGCAGGGACAAGACAGACTCATGGAACTGGTGCTCCAGGAGAGGGGCAGAAAAAGTATCATAAATTGCGATCAGGGTTTTAATAGGTGGAAAGAGGCTTAGACAGTTATAGGATGGGGCATTGGGTGAGCCCCCTTTAAAGGGGTGGTGAATGAGCACAGAGGAGAATTCCAGGAGGTGTGGCAGGAACAGGGATGCAACAGGAAGACTGGTTCACCAGGCAGCTGGAGAAGCAGGCAGGAATCTTAGAGCACAGGGTCTCCCAGGGTTTCATTGCAAACACGACACCAGGCTGTTGACGATTATTAACAAAGGCAGGGACTTGCTCCAGTTCACATGTTCAGGTCACTTTGGCTTCTGTGAGGAGGGTGGGAGCACATCCAGGCAAGAATGGACACGAGCAGGTGAGTTAGGAGCAAGGGAAACAATGATTAAACTGCGCAGGTGGTGACAGGTGTGAGGCCCACACGTGAAGCCCTGGGCCCGTGTGTGTGTGTGTGTGTGTGTGTGTGTGTGTGTGTGTGTGTGTGTGTGTG